GTCACTTATTCTCACCACAGACTCATTGTCCCCTCAGCATTGAAGTCTTGGATTGTGAGTCCCTCAAGTGACACCAACATCAGCCAGTCCACCATCTCTACTTTCAGAGATGACTTCCTGTCCACCTTGAGACAGTTCAATCCCCTCTCACATTCAGCTGAAGAGACCAGGGCGGACAAATTACTGTTTGCTCACACTATTTTTTATATGTTTAAAAGTGGATACCACTGATGGTAACCAGAAGCTAAGAATTGGTTGCAAGTTTCTCAAAACCTGGCAACCCTTACTGTCGAGCACTGCCAACAGGGATCTGCCACGGGTCAGCTTTGGCCCAATCAACAGCCCAGCCACTGGTAAGCCTATCCTGCCCCATTCTGAATTATGCATAATGCCTCAGATAACGCATTATTCATGACCGATGCTACGTTTAACAGGTGGAGGTCTTAAACCATTAAGCTTAACCATTTTCTGAAGCGGTTCAGTGAATGCTTGGAGAAAGCGATGCTTCAAGTAGTGGGGTAATGCTTCCTCTGGTGCTGGTTGAGGGACTCTAAGAGTTCTTGCCAAGGTAAGGGCAACATGAATAAATTGTGGGGGTTTTTTAACCTTTTTTTCATTTAGTAGTTAATTACATACTAATGACAAAATTCATATCTTCCCTATCTTTATTTCTAGGAAAAACACCCCTTCACCATCTCCTGGGCTCCTCGCAGGTCCGGTACCAGTCAAAGGCACAGAAGAATAGACCCGGGGGGGACATGGACGAACTGTGAATGAGCATTAACACTTTGTACATTAAAGAGCAATACTATGCTCTAGAAATTAAAAAAACTGTAAACACTAAATAGTTTTTGACTGTTTTATTTGCTATTTGGTTCAACCACTTCTCTTGGAGTTCTCTCAGTTCTCTCTTCATTAATGTCGGTATCATCATCTGGGGGATGTGCATGCATTAATCACAGTATACAGTAATTATCTTGTCGCATTTCTTCATGGAGAACATAGAACATGTGCCCCTCTCCACAGCGCTGTGTAAAAGTATGCTAGGCTACAAAATGCCACCCGCTACGTTGTAATTTGCTCGCTATAAATTCAGCTGTGGTCCTGGGAATGGTGGAAGAGGCCATTGCAATTGGGGATATCCACTGTTACCGAGGAGATGGCATCTTAGGGTTCCTCTTACACAACTGCATTGAGGCTTAATCACACTAGCTTTTGAAACTACAAAATTCTGTTGTCAAGTTCCTTCCAATGGAAAAGCCACAATCAGTGGATTCAATCGTGGGCATAGAATGTGCAAATCTTAATTTGAATTTTGGTGAATTATGACCTGTGTAATTGCACCGTTGACCAACAGCAAGCAATACTCAATAACTTTACGAGAGTAAACAGCACTGTGGTCACTCAGGCAGCTTTTGCTGAGGATCTGAGAGTTGTGGTTGGATTCAGATCATCCAGCTCTGCATCAAACTCTGCTTGGGTGTTGCTGCTGTGATATCTTTTGAGGTTCACCGAAGCTTTTTCGTTGTCGCTTGAAGTGGTGATATGCACGTTTGGCATCAAAGGGAAGCATGTTGTAAAATTTCGGCTTTTCTTCCCCAATGACTCAGAGCCAGTTTTAAATTCTACGAACCTACAATTGACTACAATATGTTGAGCATGCTCACTTCTGCCCCCTTGCTGCAGCCATCTAAAGCTGGGACCAGACCATGCAACACCTTTCCCTATGGTCCAGGACCATGGGCCTGCCGAGAAAGACCAATATTACCTTGCCGTCTTTTACAGATGCACCACAGACCAACTTCTACGAGCTGGAATGTCAACTACCAATGGCGACATGGAACGTATACATTGTCAAACTAGAGAAGATGAAATATTTGGACATGGCGTCCTAAATGCGGAATTAATCGTCTTCCACTATGACCCAAATGTCAAATAGTTTGGTTTAGTAGTCTGATCCAAATGGACGACTACTAACTAACTCATTTGATTAGATTTTTTATATTTGTGGTGGGGGGTTGGCGGGGTTGATGAATGGGGTAGTGGCTAGCAGTGTTGTAGTCAAGACCACCTTAACCTAGACCAAGTCATGACCAAGACCAGAGCGTATCGGGACTAAGACAAGGCCAAGACTTTGAGGGGTTGAGACCAAGTCAAGACCAGACCAGTGTGAGTCCTGGTAATGCTGTGTGTGTTCTCTTGGACCCTGTTTTGCAGAAAAACTCTTTGTGGTTTAGGAAGCCAAATTTTATAACCGAAGATTTGCTTGATGTCTCCTCCCAAACAGCCAGGGCTTCTTCTCCTGTATCCCTCGTTTTCTTAGAGTGCACGTGATGGGGGGTGGGGGAACGGGAAAAAATGCGTTTGATTACGACGAGACCTTCAAAAAATGATCTTGAGACTAAGGCCGATCTCTAGTACTACAACACTGCTTGAGAAAAGCCTTCTACCACATTGTGCCAAAGTTACAAAAAAAAAGTCAACAGAAATATGTAATAAGAACTTTAATAAACAAAGGTGAAAGATTATTCATTTTATGTTTAAGTCAAGCTCCCCCCCCCCCCCAGAACGCACATGATGGCGACGGGGGGGGTCAAGAATCAACCATAATACAT